CAACTAATAAAGAATCTACTCTTCCAGTTTCTTTATGCCTTACAAATATACTGTCGTGCACTTTCGATGGTCTTCTCCATTTTCATGTTCTACAATAACATTGCTGTGCTTCCAGTCATTGAACCCCAATGTAGCAAAGGGAGATTTTTCTTGGACAATAGGCGACATACAAAGCAGTACGAGCGACCTTGGGATGGTGAATTCGAGTAGCCATTGACGTTTAACACACAGTATTTGCCATTCCACAGTTCACGTTTGAACACATTGTTTGATAAATACCTTGCCTTCATATTCTCTACTCCAGCTGTTTTATATACTTACACTGCGTGAGTTTGAAAGATTGCTATCATGAAGCACAGAAATCACAATAGCGTGATGCATCAAATGAACAAATCCACAAGGGCCGTGACGAGGGTTCGAACCTACGTCTGAGAGGATCCCAGACGCTGCCTTAATCGACTGAGCTACGACATTGTAAAAGAATTGCAACCGGAAGTTCTACTGACCTTACTCGGATCCTGCAGCCTCTCCGAGACACAAACCAGGTTTTTACACAATTTCCCCATGCACCCGAGCTCTATCGAGCACTGTATAAACATCAGGGGTCCGCGGTTGTTCAACGTCCTCCCAGCGAGCATAAGAAATATTGCCGGAACAACCGTGGACATCTTCAAGAGAAAACTGGACGGTTTTCTAAGAGAAGTTCCGGATCAGCCGGGCTGTGGTGGGTACGTGGCCCTGCGGGCCGCTCCAAGCAACAGCCTGGTGGACCAAACTCTCACAAGTCGAGCCTGGCCTCGGGCCGGGCTTGGGGAGTAGAAGAACTCCCAGAACCCCATCAACCAGGTATCAACCAGGTATCAATAAGCTGTTCTACCTCTTAATGAACAAATCCACAAGGGCCGTGACGAGGGTTCGAATTTGATGCATCACGCTATTGTGATTTCTATGTGTAATGAAGTGAGGGCAAAGAGGTAGAAGAACTTGTAGAGCTCAGGTGCATGGGGGAATTGTGTAAAATCCTGGGTCTCGGAGAAAAAATTTGAGTCTCGGAGAGGCTGCAGGATCCGAGTAAGGTCAGTAGAACTTTCGGTTGCAATTCTTTTACCATGTCGTAGCTCAGTCGATTAAGGCAGCTTCTGGGATCCTCTCGGACGTAGGTTCGAACCCTCGTCACGGCCCTAGTGGATTTGTTCATTGCTATCATGATTCTAACAAGATGAGCTCCCACTACGAGTCCAATAATCTACTGTACTGTATTAGTATCATTAGTGTTCTATAGCCCCGGGTCTGTCTCTTTGATTGCAAACGCTTAAGTTACAGATTTGGGTATTTCCCCTTGTAAAATATCACCAGCAGCAGCAACAGGTAATGATGGTATGTCTGCTGAAGCTGGATGATTGGTAGCAGTAATGTATGTAGATGTGGATGCTATTTCTGAAGGGAACAGTACTATTGGCTGACATTGCAGGAGTGGATGCTGATGTGGATGCTATTTCTGAAAGAATGTACGAGTGGCACGAGTGTTGAGCCACGATGTTAATTTTGAAAATCTTCCTATTTTCTCCTCCTGCAGCTCTCTTCCTCTTCTGTGTTCCACTCAAAATATTACCTTTCATTTCTGCTGAATGGGTTACTCACCTGGAAATATATATCTTTAATATTTAGTCCCACACCAGGATGTAGGATTGTTACACAAGTGTGCTTGCAACAAGACCTAAATATTTCAACATTCTGCTTCCATAATGAACATGTTGTATGCTCATTGGGCCCCACGATGGGCACTCGAGCCCTTGCGGTAAGACTGCTGTTTTAGATGGTACCGTCTCAGCACATAGCAGCTTCAGGGAGTCACCAGGGTTCACCCAGAAATTGGCATTTCATTACATTCAATGCCTTTTTTTTTTATTGTTTGCTTCATTTCCAGGGAATCCCTCATCTTAATGACTGGACAGTTTTACCCAGTGCAAACTGTTGTTATTTTTATGTGATTATTTCTGTTTGGTTCTGAGAAATGCAGGGGATAATTCTTTGAAATAGCCAGGTGTAAATCTAGTGTATGTTATCACTAGTGAAGAGGCCCTAACCATACAACCTGATACTGTACTGCCCAACACCCCACCCACTATCCCCATCCACTCACGCTCATCTAAAAACCCATCACCCTTGCCTACCTGCCTACCATCCCCACTCACCACCGCCCTATGCAGAATCTGTCCCCATGTGTTAAACTTTTCTGTTGGAACTCACAAGACTGAAAGAATCCTGCAAGATTCATTCAAGGAGAGAGTCTTTGAAAGATATTGAGAATAATGTGATCCCCTACCAACAATAAGCAGAAGATACAAATTACCGGGCAACATAGTAGACGTGGGATTGCTGGATTGTTTCAGTCATAGGGTTAGACATGGTGTATCTTTGAATGAGTTTAGGTGGATATAAATAGGAGCTGCCTTGTATGGGTCAGTAGCAGTGCCCTTTATTTCTTATTCTTCTGTTCAGTTTACTATTTACTGCAGGAGCAAGGAGACAACAAACTGCTTATGAGGATCACTTCTGACATAGTTGAGATGCGTTAAGAGACGAATGTCCTCTCCTACCTTTACATGCCCACTTGGGGACTGTCTGCCCAAGTGATCTTGATATATAGGCAAGGCAACACCTCTTTGAGGGTACCTAATAATGTACTAACTAGAAGGCTTTATCATAGATCACAATGTTTCTTCACAGAAGCAGACCATCACCAGAGATATCCTGACCAACAATAACAAAGTAACTGACAGACGCAACAATAATAGGAGATTAGACATTGTCGATTCACTGCATATTTAACACACCCGTCCAACTATCAATAGCCAGCTTACACTTAGGTAAAGTATACCATATCATCCTAAATACCAAGACCAAACTTTCACCTCAATTCATTTACTGCCCCAGCTGACTTTGACAGTGTAACACCTCATGTCACCTAATCCAATCCTACTTGATGTATACTGTATAATGTATTCCCTGGTACTGTGTGTCAATTTACTCTGCGCCTCGGCAGGCGATTTTGAGAGCTCACGTGAAACGTGTCCTTCAGCGACACGTGTCACACGCAGTAACATTGTAAAGGAAACTTCTCAAGTGAAGAATATAAGAAATAGAGAGGAGTCGTGGTAGAATCATTGATCTAACCCTTCCAGTGATATTCAGTGACACGTCTAGAAGAGACACTTGACGCTCGTTGAGCTCTCCACCTGGATACTTTGCACACCTCACATAACCAGGAAACAAGCTGTTTTCTATCCTTTTTTTCTTTTTTCATGCAAATGTAAAACATATTCAATAAGAATATTTTTTTAACACTGGCAGAATGGTGCATGTGACAATAGTTAGTCATAGAAGGTTACAAAAAAATCAATTATAAAAAAGATTAATAGGAGTATTTTATGATGATGTATATGATAGAATTTTTTTTTATGGTGATGAAAATGTGAGAAATGTGATCTAACCTAAATAGTGCCAATTATTTATCAGTCCAGCCTAACATAGGTAAATCGAGGCCCATGTTATAAATTCATGTCATTGTTGTTATATGGGGTGAACTAATTTTGACAAAAATATTAGAAAATATGCAAAATCACTCGTTAGAATTTAGTTGTTAAGCTTTTAGTTGTTAAGTTAAAGTTTTCTTTCTTACTAGGCTGAACTTGCATTCTGGCCATTAGGTACTCAGTATAGTATAATATACTGTTATCATGTACTCTTCCTTTAGTCTGGAAAAAACGTATGTTATGATGTACGTATGTTATAAGAACACTAATCTGAAGTAGATAAACAAATATCATGAAGTATATAAATGGATGCCAGGTGCAGATGTGATGTAATAGACTGAAGCTGTGTGTTGTGATGTAATAGGCTGAAGCTGTGTGATGTGATGTAATAGGCTGAAGCTGTGTGTTGTGATGTAATAGGCTGAAGCTGTGTGTTGTGATGTAATAGGCTGAAGCTGTGTGATGTGATGTAATAGGCTGAAGCTGTGTGTTGTGATGCAATAGGCTGAAGCTGTGTGATGTAATAGGCTGAAGCTGTGTGATGTGATGTAATAGGCTGAAGCTGTGTGTTGTGATGTAATAGGCTGAAGCTGTGTGATGTGATGTAATAGGCTGAAGCTGTGTGTTGTGATGTAATAGGCTGAAGCTGTGTGTTGTGATGTAATAGGCTGAAGCTGTGTGTTGTGATGTAATAGGCTGAAGCTCTGTGTTGTGATGCTTTAGACTCCCTAAGTTACCTCAGCTGTGAAGAAAATAGAACGAATTATATCAATTGGATAATTGTAAATATGGTGGCGAGGAGAGGGGGGGGGGGTAGGTGGTGGCTGGAGAGGATGAGGGGGGGGGAGGCTGTCACTACCAGATGCCACCATCTTACTAGAATATGTTTCCATTTTCCAACATTGAGATATTTGCGTATCTTCACTGAATAGATCAGCATTTCTCAACCTTTTTACCCTTGCAAAACTCGTGAAATAATTTTCACGTCTCGAGAAAACCTTGCATAAAAAATATTATTATATATACTGTACTGTACAGTATACCTGTATGTGTATTACTGGGTATTAGTTTATTTGGGCCCACAAATATTTATTAATCAAAAAAATCAACCACACCTATAAACACACAAAAATTGACAATGTTCTCGCAGAGCCCCGGTTTAGAAACGCTTGTATAAAAAGCTTCTCTTATGATAGTGGACAATAGTTGAATATAGGAGCCAAAGGGTTTAGTGGTGCTATTAATATACTTCATCATTGTCCTTTAGTTTCTCTTCACCAAGATCATCGTCATCATCGCCCATAGTTTACTACTTTTGGTTTGATGCGATGTTGTTCGTGGTATGTATAAACATTTTGACAATTAATGGGAGTAAGTTATTGTATGTTGATGTTTAGGTTATTGTAATCTGTATAATTTTCTAGTCTTCTTTTAATTATTTGAGTTTTGATTGTTATTTTATAGACGAAAGCGCAGGAGTGGAAGTCGAAGCCCAAGTCGAAGACGTGGCGAACGTGTCCACAGAAGATCTCCCGCTCGTGTTCGTCATCCCTCACCTCGTCGTCCTCCTGCAGCTGGCGGTCTAGCACATGATAATAATATGAGCTCGACAAGCTTATTTGCAGAGCTCGTCAAGAGTAGAAAAAATAGAGAACGTATCATGGCTTTGAGGACGAAGGATGGGGAAAAGACAGAGAAGGGCAAAGAAAATGTGGAGCCTGAAGGTGGGTCTACCTCAGGTCTAGACACCCCTGGTCCCACGCCAGCTCCATCTGCCATTCCAAATGGAGCAGCCAAAGTGGAAAATAATGTGGGTGCGGCTGCAGCAGTTGCAACGGTGGCAGTAGCAGCGGCAGCAGCTGCAACAGTAGCGACAGCTGCCACAACACCAGAAGCTGCAGCAACAACAGCAGTAACATCAGTGACTGCAACAGCAACATCATCATCAACATCAACAACAAGTATGATGATGGCAAATATGATGACTGCAGCAGCAGCATTTGATCAAGAAGAAACTTCCAATCACTCTTACCACTCTGAGCCACCAACAGTCAATGCCATACACACTCTTGATACAGGAAAAATTGACTTCAAGAAAGTTTCAGTACCAACTAGTCTCACTAAGTTACCAATGCCACCAGGTATTAATCTAGAAGACATTGATTCACCTACGTCTCCCAGTACACCACCCGAGTCGAAGCCTACCCGAAAAAGTATTATCACAGATCTTCCTATGCCTCCAAGTATGATATCACATTCCTATGTTGCAAATACTATTTTTGAGTAATATTTGTCTATAAATAATAAAAGTAGTCCTTCATAGTTTGCTGCACGAGTGTTTTTCTCTCTCTTGTAGTGATAGCTGGAACAGAAGAGCTTTCCCCAGATGAGGATGCCCTGAGCACACCACCACTCACCAGAACAGCTCCCGCTAAACAAAGACCCATTGCAGCAAGGCCCAAGATTCTAAATGCCAAGCGGCAGGACCGCACATCCCTCGAAGATTGGAGTGAACGCTGCGTTGAAGTGTTTGACATCATTGCGCAGATTGGTGAGGGAACATATGGCCAGGTGTATAAAGCCAGAGCTAAAGATAAGAAAAGTAAGTATGCTTCTTTTTATCACTATTCCTTAAATCACGTTGGTTTTTCTTTTAATGTTATTATTCAACTTGGGTTATTAAATTGTTTATGAAAAACATGCAGTGCTAAACTCTGAAAAGTGTAGTCACAGACTTTGATCATCTAGTGCAGTACTGTACTGCCATCATATTTTGGAAATATGATGACAGTACAGCCATCATATTTCATTGATGTACAGCCATCATTTCCATCATCAGTACATATGTTGTGTGTCAGTGTTGGAATAATGATGTTGCTAACATAGTTCAAGTAGCTCAAATAGGCGCAGTATTCAAATAGTCGCAGTATTCAAATAGTCGCAGTATTCAAATAGCCGCAGTATTCAAATAGTCGCAGTATTCAAATAGTCGCAGTATACAAATAGTCGCAGTATTCAAATAGTCGCAGTATTCAAATAGTCGCAGTATTCAAATAGTCGCAGTATTCAAATAGTCGCAGTATTCAAATAGTCGCAGTATTCAAATAGTCGCAGTATACAAATAGTCGCAGTATTCAAATAGTCGCAGTATTCAAATAGTTGCAGTATTCAAATAGTCGCAGTATTCAAATAGTCGCAGTATTCAAATAGTCGCAGTATTCAAATAGTCGCAGTATTCAAATAGTCGCAGTATTCAAATAGTCGCAGTATTCAAATAGTCGCAGTATTCAAATAGTCGCAGTATTCAAATAGTCGCAGTATTCAAATAGTCGCAGTATTCAAATAGTCGCAGTATTCAAATAGTCGCAGTATTCAAATAGTCGCAGTATTCAAATAGTCGCAGTATACAAATAGTCGCAGTATTCAAATAGTCGCAGTATTCAAATAGTCGCAGTATTCAAATAGTCGCAGTATTCAAATAGTCGCAGTATTCAAATAGTCGCAGTATTCAAATAGTCGCAGTATTCAAATAGTCGCAGTATTCAAATAGTCGCAGTATTCAAATCCCAGCAGTCACAGGAGGTCACAAAATAATTTGTAGTTAGACGTCATTCAACTCAGTCTCCAAACATGGGATTGTAGAACTGTACATACATGGGCTAACATATATATAGTACAATCACTTCCTGTTTACAGAATATTCATTTTAGTATTATTTTTACTTTTGCCTACAGATTCCATACATTTGAACATAATTCATGTGAAAATAAAAAAATTATTTAGTCATAGCTACCATAACTTAAAGCTGATGAATGCCAAAAGGGATGATGACTACTGTTGACCAGACCACACTAGAAAGTGAAGGGATGACGACGTTTCAGTCCGTCTTGGACCATTCTCAAGTCGATTGTGAGAATGATCCAAGACAGACCAAAACGCAGTCATTCTTTCACTTTCTAGTGTGTGGTTTGATCAACATATTTCAGCCACGTTATTATGACTCCTCGTCTGCATGATGCTTACTGCCGGAGCTAAAATAATTGCAAGCCACAATAAACATGGAAATGACATTTCATTCACTTGCATCATTGGAAATTCTAAAAAAAGCAGTATGAGCACATGTTTAGCACCCAAATAAAAAGAATGAAAGTGAAAGATCCAGACAGCATATTTATGCATGATATCCAAACCTTCCCCTGAAAATATATCTGACCTCAACACAAACTCTGCAGATTTTGCAAGAGAAATTGACAATACTGTTTGCCCATGCACTCTGCCTCGGGTCCAGACTTGTGGAATTAAATATTTATAAAGAAATGCAAAGTGCTGGTAGGACAAGCATGTGGTATAGTGTCGAGGAAGAGCTTGGACACGGGGGGGGGGGGATGCCACAAGCACTTGAACCAGCAAATATAGCTCCCCTACACAAGGGAGGGAGCTATAGATCAGTTGCACAAACGTCCAACATAATAGACGTTTTTGAAAATGATCAGGAGTCAGATCTCCAGTTTTATGGAGACCAATGACCTCCACAACCCAGGTCAACATGGATTTAGAGTGGGAAGATCATGTCTTTTTTGCAACTACTCACCACTAACAAAATCACTGATGCATTAGAAGAAAAACAGAAGGCAGATGTAGTATACACAGACTTTACAAAGACATTTGATAAATGTGATTATGGTGTGATAGCGCAGAAACTGAGGTACATAGGAATAATATGTAAAGTAGGGTGATGGGTATTCAGTTTTCTGTCAAACAGAATGCAATGGGTAAAAGTTAACCAAATAAAATCAAGTCCAAGCACAGTTAAAAGCTATGTTCCTCGGGGCACAGTCCTGGCACCATTGCTATTTCCTATTCTCATTTCAGATATAGACAAAAATAGAAGTTATAACTTTGTGTCATCTTTTGCAGATGACACAAAAATCAGCATAAAAATAACTTTAGTAGAAGACATTGAAAAACTAGAAGCTGATATTAAAAAAGCTTTTGATTGTGCAGCAGGAAAAATGACATGATGTTTATCAGTTACAAATTTCAGATACTGTACTTAGGTATGAAAAAATTAAGACAAACAAAATGCAGGGTACAACCCACAAAAAAGTCTGCCCATAGTGGAGAGCAGCATATATAGGAACTGGGAATAATGATACATGATGACATAATATTTAGGGACATATTCCCAAGATGACCAAGCAAATATAGCGTCATCTAGAAAAATTATAGTATGGATTATGAGAACCTTCAAATCCAGGGATCCTATTGCAGTGCTCATACTATTCAGATCAATGGTGCTGTCCTGCCTTGAGTACTGCTTGATAACTGCTTTTGCCTTGATAGAGCATGATAAACTGCTGAAATAGAGGGAATTCAGAGAATATATACGGCACACACAGACTCGATAAAGCACCTAAATTATTGGGACCATCTCAAAGATCTCAAGATGTACTCTCTAGAAAAGAGATGAGAGAGGTATCAAATAATATGTACTGTACAAGGAAAATTCTGGAGGGCCAAGCAACAGCCTGTTAGACCAAGTTGGTACAAGTCAGGCCAGGCTTGTTGAGTAAAACAACTCCGAGAAACTTATCCAGGGTCAATCCAGGTATCCAGGAACTCAGGCTCACAGAAGACAGGAGATCGTCTGACCTGACTACGAAAACCCACAATAAGAGAGGCTTCCAGAGAGATACCACTGGTATCCAACTGGGACTTTAAGCCTCTACTGGGATATCACTCGAGTCTGGACGTATTAGGTGATCCAATTGCCAGTTATTTGAATTGCAAACCACAATGAACACGGAAATGACATTTCCTTCACTTGCACCATCGGAGCCTTGAACTCAGGACTTCCGTAGGTGAAGATGGGAGCTCTACCGACCTGATTGTGAATACTGTACCCGATTGTGAATATACTGTTTAATATATAAAAGAGGGTCCCAGCAAGACGCCACTGGTATCCAAATGGGACTTTCCATCCATCCATCCATCTTTCTGAAGCTGTATTATTAAATACGAAAGTACTTAAGGAAATTCCTGTCTTAATCCTTCCTTCGAGGTCTGACACTGTTACATTGTTCATTATGTGTTTTATACATACGCTATTTTTATCTATCACAAATGCTACCAATTATAAAGTTATCTTACTTGTACCATCCTGGACTGACAATAATATTATCTAATTCACTATTTATAAATGATGATTCAATAATATTTCTTTCAGTAACTGATTTACACACTACAATTTTGCATGAATTAGCCCAGTCAATTGAACGGGTATAATCTCTTGAGGGAGCAAATAATGCATTGGACTCTTGACCTGTTCTTGTACTATATTTATGTTGTTTCATTCCTTGGTCAAGAGGTTTACCTGTTTGGCCAACACACAACTTATTACAGTTTTGACAAGGAATTTAATGTACACATCAATTGCGACTATCGGGTGGAATTTTTAATTAGTGTTTTTATGATAAATTACTATTTTATGATAAATTACTATTACTATGATAAATTAGATTACTAAATGCTACATTGATATTAAATTCTTTTAGTAATTTAGAAATTTAATTGAAATTCTCATGAAATGGCAGAATTAATGTATTTTTAATATTGATTTTTTTTTGTAAAACTAAGTAAAGTTTTACAAGCAATTTGACTGGCTTTATCAATAAATTACTTTGGGTATTTTAAATTGAAAGCTAGACTATATATGGCACTGATTTTGTCATCTAGAAATTCAGGACCATTCAGAAATTATTTTCACATTTATAAATGATTACATCTAAGAATGGTAGAGAGTTGCCTCGTTCCAGTTCCAGTGTAAACGTAATGGATGGGACTGGATTATTTAATTCTAATAACAATGTGTCCATGTTTCTGTTCTTTGGCCACCAGCAAAGCACATCAACAACATAATGGAACCATGTAACATTAGGAGGCAAAAATTGACGTTATAGTCTTGTTTCATGGAACTCCACATATAGATTGGTTAAAACTGGCTTTGAGGGCTACCCAGAGTCATTCCAAATTGTTGGTAATAGAATTCATTATTCAAAACCAAATTAGAGTTAATAACACACAGTTCTATTAAAGTTGGGAACTGGACGGGGCAAATCATATCTTAACAGTTCATCACGTCAAAATGTTAGTAAGTCATCAACTGGAACTTTGGTAAATAAAGAAGTTAGATCATTTCATAATTACAGAGCTCTTTCGTATTACATAATTTGTCAACTAGATCCACATTATTCTTTATTTTTGAATTATAAATATTATCAACAATAAGATTTAGAACTAGTCATTTTGATAGTTTATAAGATACTGAACCTCTGGAACTAATTATTGGCCTGACTTAATTATTAGGTTTAAGAGTTTTGACCAAGTATATATATATATATTTTGCAATGATGGCATTACTATCATGAAGTTTGTAATTAAAATATTATTATCTTTCAACAAATTTTCATTTTTTTTTTTGTTGTTAAAACTACTATTAACAGCATCCAAAGGATTCTTTATTATTTTTATATATATGTATCAGAATCACTTGATAACACGTTCATTTTTTCTATACGCTTCTGTTCATAATTACAAGAACATTTTAATTTGTTTCCTTTAGTAATATGTAATTCTTAATTTTCTTTACGTTTTCAAAAGCATTAAAGAATCTCTGTGGACAGTTAGGCAATATAGTTTCAGACATTGCACCATTCACTATACCTTAGCATATATGAAATCATCAATTGGCAAATCACTGTTGTTGCTTTCCAAGTTACAAAAACCTATTAGCTATTTCAACACTACAGTTCTTGTGGTATTGAAGCTTGGGCCATAACCAAGAGCAGTAGCTGTGTTTTTGTCCAAGACTGTGTCGGACAAATCACAAAATTGCTATTTAGTGTGTTTAGTGCAATCACTATTTTTTATTTAATTATCCAGTTTATGCTTCAGTTTTCTTTGTAGATCATTGCACACATTTCAAAGTTGAAATAGACTTAAAGGTTTGCATAATAATTGACTGGGAAAGAGAGAGAGGATGTACTCTCTCATGAACTTGAGTGTATGTACTACGAGAGTGAAGTTGAGAGTACGTAAGATGAAGGTCAGGCAGCAGCACAGACATTGTGTGGGAGGTGTGAAGAAGCACTGATTAAATGTAAACATTGTAAGAAAGGTTGGTGAACAAGACCAGGTGGAATCAGTAATGTATCATGTGTGACGTGTTGCACTGGAGATTTATATATATATATATATATATATATATATATATATATATATATATATATATATATATATATATATATATAATTATTTATTTATTTATTTAATGCTATATTGTATGTGTGTGTGTGTGTTATTTAATAAATTGCTTGTATTCGTAATATCCTCTACCATACTCGACTCTTAAAACCAAAATCAGGATTTGTAGATAGCTGTGTTGAAGGGTTAAAGTGTGCATTACATACCAAATAAAATGATTGTAAGTTTTCTAATTTTATTTTTGTTATTGTAGATGATGAAATGGTTGCCTTAAAGAAAGTGCGTTTAGAGAACGAGAAGGAAGGCTTTCCTATCACGGCAGTGCGGGAGATTAAAATCCTGAAGCAGCTTCACCACAAGAACATTGTCAACCTCAAGGAGATTGTCACGGACAAGCAGGATGCTATTGATTTTCGACATGTAAGTTTATCATGGTGTTTAGTGTTAGGAGGAATTGAATTGCTTTAATTGTGTGTTTTTTGGTTTTGTTTTCTTTTAGCTATGTGTGCATGTTAAGAGGTCTTTAATGTTTGTGTTGAATTTTGTATTCTTGCAACATGTTTGCATATACGATCTTGAACACCTCATTGTATTTGTTTGAAGGTAAACATTTTGCACTTGTCTCCCGCTAGACCTGAGCTTGGTCTGCAAGGTGTTTATGTGTAGCAGACGTATTCCATTACACTATAAGATCATTATTGCACGTAACTGCAAAAAAAAAAAAAAAATAGTGGAATGCCTAAAGTAGAGGTGCTCTCAAAATATTTCCCTGGGCTGTAATTTAGTTCTGAAAAAATGAAAAATGTTTTATTCAAGATGTTGATTAATAAGTTTACCTCATGATTTCTGTTATCAAATTGTGCTTAAGAAGGTGTGTTATCATTTGCACTATAAACATAATGTTCATGTAAAATAGTGAAACAGTAAAGATTTGAATGTAAGAAAAGTTGCTTCAGTGGAGACTGTAGAGTTAATGTTCACTGTACAAAAGGGTTTGCAAAAGGGTACAGCTGCTATTGGAATTACGCAGAGTAGCCACATAACACTTATTTTATTTGTTTGGTAATACAGTATCTTGTAATGGTGTCATATTGTCTTAAACTTACAATACATGTTACCATAGTGTTTACTTTTTATCTCAAGGAGTGCAGCAACACAACATTTTGTGTGTTGTTTCAAAATCAAAAATTTGATTTCAAACTTTCAACACCTGTGAATGATCATAAAAACTGAGCTTGCTTTTGTTATTGAGCAGTATATTCTAACAGCAACTATTCATTTGTATTACTGTCTTAAGTTTGCAGGGCAAGCTCAGAGAGTTTTATTACCAGTTATGAAAACAAAACCCTACACCCCATATCTTGGTGTGACCCACGAAGCACCCCAACCTCGTCTACTGCTGGCAGACACCCACCTCCCCCTAACACCACCCTATTGTTGCACCCTCAAATACGTATACAACACACCTGCCTACACCTGCACCAACTGAGCCACACGAGCACATACACCTATCTCATCCCCCAGTCAAACCCCGACCACATACACCTATCTCATCCCCCAGTCAAACCCCGACCACATACACCTATCTCATCCCCCAGTCAAACCCCGACCACATACACCTATCTCATCCCCCAGTCAAACCCCGACCACACCAAACTACCACAGAAAAATGTCCACCAAGCCAGGTGTGTGTGTGTGTGTACCAATTGTATTGGGGAACCTTGCATTACTAAGAGGATGCAAAGTCAATGAAGAGAGGCAGTATAAGGGAAAGGAGTAGCCCTACGTGCAACATTTCTTGTTCTGTGATTTACTTATTATATTCTTACATACTTTTTCCTTTTTACTTTTTTACATACTTTACGAAGGTGAAGGGACGTCGTCGTCCCTTCACCTTCGTGTGTGTGTGGTCTGGTCAACATATTTTAGCCATGTTATTGTGACTCATCGCCTGCATACTTTTTCCATTGTGTTGGGGGATATGTGGTTAGCATTATTTCTTTGTCTTGTTGTATGGGTAGAGTATGTCTTTTGGGTGGGGGGGGGGGGTTGTTGGGAGGGAGGGAGGGTATAATTCGAAAATCGCGCTATTTTTGGCCGGTAGCGGCGAAAATCGCGATTTTTGCCCGCCAGCTGCGAAAATCGCATGGTTTTGGCCGGTAGCGGCGAAAATCGCGCTATTTTTGCCCGCCAGCTGCAAAAATCGCATATAATTACCCAAGTGTAGTTACAGGATAACAGCTACGCTCGTGATGTCCCATCTTGCCAGTAATCTGTTGTATGATGCTTTGAAACTACTGACGGTTTTGGCCTCATCACCTTCTCACTTAGCTTGTTCTAACCATCTACCACTCTGCAAAAGTAAACGTTCCAATATTTTTTTGTTCTTTTGTTTCCATAACTTGAACCTGTGTTCTCTTGTTCTTGAAGTTGTTGGTTTCAGGAATTCCTCTGTCAATTTGGCCGATTCCTGTTAGTATTTTGTAAATGGTGATCATATCACCTCTTTTTCTTCCATCTTCTAGTTTTGGCATGTTTAACTCCTCTAGTCTCTCCTCGTAACCCTTTGTTTTTCAGTACCGGAAGCCATTTTGTAGCATGCCACTGTACCTTTTCCAGTTTGTGCTTCTTGAGATTTGGGCACCATACAACTTCTGCATATTACAGTTTTGGTCTCACAAAAGTTGTGAACAGTTTCTTTAGTATTTCACCATCCATATAATTAAAAACAAGTCTGCAGTTGGAAAGTGAGACATGCGCTCCTCTCACAATGTTCTTTGTGTTCCTGTGGCAATAGTTTACTATCTAAAAACACCCCAAGGTCTCTTTCTTTATTAGAGTTCTGTCATTCCTTTCTACATAATTTGTAAGTTGTTTGTCTCCTATTTACTCTGATTCAACATTCCATAACATTGCATTTGTTCACATTGAATTCCATTTGCCACTTAATGCTTGACGCATCTATTTTATCTAGATCAGTTTGAAGGTCATTACAATCATCTACGTCTCCCATCTTCCTCAGTATCTTGGCATCAGCTGTAAACATGTTCATTTAATTCTATATTCATTCTGGTATATCTATTATGTAGACGATGAACATTACTGGTGCAAGACATGAATCCTGTGGTACTCTGCTAGTAACACTCCTTCAGTCAGATACATTATCTTTGATTACTACCCTCTTCTGTCTGTGAGAATATTGTTCATCCATGTCATTTACTTCCTTACTTTACTTACTTACTTTACTTGCTTAGCTACAAGTCCGTACAATTGAACTCGTTAAAGAACTTTCTAAGTTCTCCCAAAGTGTCCTCTCATGAAATTGAATTAATCAACCGTTTCAGTGTCCCCATTCTCTTGTAGATTATATCGCAAAGCATATTTAATTTGCACCAGGATATGATCACTCTTTCCCAAGGGAGGAAGGTACTGGATTTCAAATATCTCTTCTTCGTTCCTGGTGAATATTAGATCCAATATTGATGGAACATCTCCTTCCCTCATTCTTGTGGCCTGCTTGACATGCTGATACTTGTATGTTTCCAGCAGGAGGTTTATAAATTTTCCTATCCAAATGTCCTCCGTTCTTGCTTCGTAGGCCTCCCAGTCTATTGCTTTCAAGTTGAAGTCCCCCAGTACCAACCGTTGTCATTTATCTTTATCACGATTTTACTATAATCTCTCATGACCGTTATGAGGCCCTCTCGTATGTCATATAGTTCCTCCTTTGTCCATGTCTTGCTTGCTGGTGGGTTGTGGAACATTCCTACTAGGAAGTGTACAATTACCTAATTGTAGTAATGGGTTGAGAGCCCGTGTCCCGTCTTCCCAGCATTCGTTGTCGTATAACGCTTTGAAATTACCGACGGTTTTGGCGACCACTACCACCTCACTTAGTATGTACTCACCTAGTTGTGTTTGCGGGGGTTGAGCTCTGGCTTTTTGGTCCCGCCTCTTAACTGTCAATCAACTGGTGTACAGATTCCTGAGCCTATTTGGCTCTATCATATCTACATTTGAAACTGTGTATGGAGTCAGCCTCCACCACATCACTGCTTAATGCATTCCATTTGTTAACTACTCTGACAATGAAAAAATTCTTTCTAATGTGTCTGTGGCTCATCTGGGTACTAAGTTTCCACCTGTGTCCCCTTGTTCGTGTTCCACCCGTGTCCCCTTGTTCGTGTTCCACCCGTGTCCCCTTGTTTGTGTTCCACCCGTGTCCCCTTGTTTGTGTTCCACCCGTGTCCCCTTGTTTGTGTTCCACCCGTGTCCCCTTGTTTGTGTTCCACCCGTGTCCCCTTGTTTGTGTTCCACCCGTGTCCCCTTGTTCGTGTTCCACCCGTGTCCCCTTGTTTGTGTTCCACCCGTGTCCCCTTGTTCGTGTTCCACCCGTGTCCCCTTGTTCGTGTTCCACCCGTGTCCTCTTGTTCGTGTTCCACCTGTGTCCCCTTGTTCGTGTTCCACCCGTGTCCCCTTGTTCGTGTTCCACCCGTGTCCCCTTGTTTGTGTTCCACCCGTAATTACCTAAGTGTAATTACCTAAGTGTAGTTACAGGATGAGAGCTACGCTCGTGGTGTCCCGTCTTCCCAGCACTCTTTGTCATATAACGCTTTGAAACTACTGACGGTCTTGGCCTCCACCACCTTCTCACTTAACTTGTTCCAACCGTCTACCACTCTATTTGCGAAGGTGAATTTTCTTATATTTCTTCGGCATCTGTGTTTAGCTAGTTTAAATCTATGACCTCTTGTTCTTGAAATTCCAGGTCTCAGGAAGTCTTCCCTGTCGATTTTATCAATTCCTGTAACTATTTTGTATGTAGTGATCATATCACCTCTTTTTCTTCTGTCTTCTAGTTTTGGCATGTTTAATGCTTCCAACCTCTCCTCGTAGCTCTTGCCCTTCAGTTCTGGGAGCCACTTTGTAGCATGTCTGCACCTTTTCCAGTTTGTTGATGTGCTTCTTAAGATATGGGCACCACACAACAACTGCATATTCTAGCTTTGGCCTAACAAAAGTCATGAACAATTTCTTTAGTATATCGCCATCCATGTATTTAAATGCAATTCTGAAGTTAGAAAGCATTGCATAGGCTCCTTGCACAATATTCTTTGTGGTCCTCAGGTGATAGTTTTCTATCTAGAACCACCCCTAGATCTCTTTCTTTATCAGAATTCTTTAAAGATTTCTCACATAATATATAGGTTGTATGGGGTCTATGTTCTCCTGTTCCACATTCCATCACATGACATTTATTAACATTAAATTCCATTTGCCAGGTGGTGCTCCATATACTTATTTTGTCCAGGTCTTCTTGAAGGGCATGACAATCATCTAAATTTCTTATCCTTCCTATTATCTTAGCATCATCAGCAAACATGTTCATATAATTCTGTATACCAACTGGTAGATCATTT